CTTGTTTTTATCTGCTGACGTCGAGCAATAATCTGTCGACCTTGTATAAAGTGAGATGTGGTTGCATTTAGAACACTAGAGTATTTGGAACTCGCCTGGAAAATGTAAGGAGAAAAAAAAATAAATTCATATAAAGATACAATCGAGTTAAACATTTTCGATCTAGTTAAGAATATACAAGACAAAACACTACTTATCTAGCTTTAAATTTATCAAGCAGTGGACTTCAATGTTATTTGCTGATCAAAATGTTACTTTTTCATACCTCCTTGACAACATGTATTTCCAACGGCCGAAGCGGACGTTCATCGTCCTGAACAAGTACCATGCCGTGTGACTGACGACAATTAAATTGCTGAGGCTGAGATTTGTAAAACAAAATCTTGGTGTAGTCATATCCGGGAGGTATCTCCCACTCGTGTTCGAAATAGAAATTCTGAAATCATGATAGAAAGAGAATGGAAAACCATGAGAAAGAACAAATAAACTAAGTTTATAAGTCCAATATTACTCTGTCATCACACACAAAATCAAGGCTTGGTATGATTAAACCATAATTCGAAATTATTTCCGACAGAAATCAAGTCTGCAAGAAGCTAGTCGTAATGTAGCAATTATTGCACAGATCCAAAGTGAAGAGTCCCAAACATAAGAAAACAAGTAGAAACTATACCTACCAATAAATCTTTTACTTGAACATGTCGGCCAGCGTCGAAAAACTCCTTATCACACGGGGAACTCCTTATAACATACTGCACTTGAAACGTCACATCTGAATCATCAATGCACTGAAGTCGTATTTCTACCTCTGTACCGTTGAGTGCTGAATGCGGAAAACCAACGTATTCGATCTACATGACAAATAAAATATTACATGCAGGAGCAAAAGAACGATTGTCATCTACTAGGTATTCTTATAAGCAGTAAAATCAAGAGCAAAATGTACGAAAACTTGAGTTACAAACTAATTTTAAGGCTAAAATCCAAAAGAATTTAAAATAAAAGCAAATCTCACCGTGTCAGCTTTCAGCTGAAGTTTTGTGGATAGAATAGCTGGTGCTAGGAAGTGTGCCAAACAATTACCGTTCAGAGTGACAACAAGTAAAAGCCACCAAAATTGGCAACTTCCGAATCGATCCTTAATTTCCAGCATCAAGTCAGTCTCATAGAACACTATTGAAACTAAGATGATAGCTTAATAAGAGGATGGTCACAATTTGAGTTCTCATTCTTTTCAGTTCAAAGTTGCTGATGATTCTGAAGAAAATTCCTGATGCAATAAGATAATAGCAGTGAGACACCGAACTGGCAGACCAATAGTAACAGCACAGTTCTTGCTTTTTCTATTACGTTACTGGTTACTTGTGACATACACTTTGAAAACTTCGAAGCACTATGCATAGCACTAGTAACCAGTAACTTTTTTAACAGATATTCTTATAAACTGTCCCATCGGCAAATAATTCGCAACAGAAGATAACGATGATGTATAGTTTTAAATAATTGCTTTACAAATTAATTATTGGGAAGAGATGCACCGTTTCTGAATCCACTCATTCTTTCAATACAAGATGACAAGTTGGCTATTTATGAATTGTTTCGAGTCAAAAGCTCGTTTGAAATGCAACGGAAACAGTAACACAACAAAAAGGACATAAAACGTAATTATTTAATGAAGTCCCAACTACATGGTAAAAGGATGAACGATAATAGCTCGGACTGGCTGATATGTCTGCGAGAAAGAGATATCTTGAATGAACAGAGAGACTAATTAGACCTTAGCACTGCAACTGCTTTATCCGCTACCAAACATATCTATACAATAGCCATCCTTAGTCCGCACAATGACCAAGAAACACAAATGTGTGAAATTTAACACGGCAATAATTTAACATGGTGAGTGAGAGACAATGAAACCTTCGATCTCATCCCCGCTGCCACTTAGATTTCAAATGGCAGAATATCTAACCCGATGATCCTCAATGATTTCATTATTCATTTTCTGAAGAATAGATATCTTCACCACACTCCGTTCTACCAACATCCTTAGTAAACTGGGATATAGACGACTAGTAAATATTTGTGAGATTTCAATGAACGCTGTCTCCTTCCTTGAGGCTTAATCACAAATGTATTAATGCCTACTTCATTAATAAATCTAGGTTAAAATCTAAGATAAGTCCGAAACCTAACTGTCCACTCACCAAAACGTGCGCACAGAACAGTCGGGTAGTCTTGCTGATATCCTAATTCAATCAAAATCCTAACCCAATATTTACATTTTTCGGTCCGTCGCTATCTGCGATTTTAGGCTGATCTCATATGACCTCAAATGAGTCATACTGCAATCAACGTATAATAGCACAACCGAGCTTATTATCCATACTAAATTCACTGATTGTCCCACATTAATAATGGGGAATTTGCAAACTTGAATGATGCAGAACTGGACTATTTATCCTACAACTTGAAGTGGTAACTTGAACATACAAATATCATAATAATAATAATAAAAAGAGTGAACTGCATCTTATTTGCATAGGTAACAATATGTGAACGCAATTTGAACAATAAAACTTACAAATTCTTCAAGTACACACAATTATGAGAGCACAACTGTCATGAAATAACTTAGAAAAGAAGAGAAAATGAATGAGCTTTTTAGATTTGATAAGAGGAAACATTACATACTTGGACGAAAGAAATGCAAATAAATATTTCTCCTAGTTATTTTATAAAGTTATCTTTACAAATAAGAAGCATAATTTTGACTGTAATCTAATCCATAATAGTAAATAAGAAACATTGGGTAAAAAAATTGAAGCAAAGGGAAATCATTTTGAAATATAGTTCTCACAGTGTATCTTTCTTATTTTCCCACCAAGACATAGCTTTTTGGCCGTTACCTCGGCTTTATCTCACTTCCTTCCCATATTTTTAGCCCCGCTTCTCTGAATAATATTTGTATTCGTAAAACTTACCTTCCGATCGAAAAAGGTACGGATATAAGTGTAATAATAAACGAGACTGTAAGTTAAGAATGTAGAGAGGTGGCGAATGTTTTTGCAATTGAACAGTTTGCTAAAAAGGAAACAGTGTAAAAACTATTGTAACTATTACCAAAAAAAAACGAATGGATAAGTTTGTTAAAATTATCGAGTTTTATAAATAGAATATAATGATAGAGTATGTCGCTAGTGATATGCAACGTCTTCAATAGAAAGTGAACGAAACTCCAATAAGCAAATTTTAAAAGAAAACCTCGAGACATCTCCATAAATTTTCCCATAAGTTTTATGAAAAGTCTCTCATCCCATAAGGGAATTTATTATTAGTATTTCAAAGATATTATAATATATCGCATCGCTTTTTCTTTCGAAATTTGTCGCGAGGTATCGCATCACCACCGGAAGCATTTCCTTTCAGCGTACCGCCTTTTCTCCGCTTTATTTCACGCATCAAATCATAAAATACCTGGAATTCAATTTTTTTAAAAACCAATACTTTTGCATGGAATATTTCAGAGAAACCTTTCCTAGTAATTATCAAGTTTGAATTCTATGAATAACTTTTAGTCTAAGTGAGCTACAAATTGCTAAAAAATCGTGAATGTCTGTGCCCTTAAATTTACAACGACTCAAAGTAAAACAAGTATTAAAATAAAAAATTATTATTCCGAATAAATGTTATGTTGGATACAACACACATACAAATAGAACAGTATCCCCATTACTGCTGTAAAAAATATCTTGGATAAACAATCTGGAAATCAAAAAAGGATGCGAAAAGAACTGATACTAAACACAATCAAATATAAATTGCAATCCTGAAATATTTCACCACTTGTCTTTGAAGAAATATTTTGATTTTAAAAACTAATAAATAATCAAAGCAAACTACGCTGCCAAATTTGTTTGAAATTATTCTAATTAAAGGCAAATTCGCAGTTACTTTTGCATGATACGATGTTGCTGGAATAGAGCGTAATTTTAAAATACTACACAAGGTCTCAACAACAGATCAAAACTCCCCATTAAAAAAATGAAGTATCCAAAAGCTTTTTTTGCTTCCTTTTACTACTTGATGATAGTAATGATTCTTTCCCGTTATTTCCGCTACCATTCCGTTAACCTTATTTTCGTGAAGTACAAGAAAACGGTACTTTATCAACATTTGTCCTGTTTTTGGCAGACGTTTCAATATACGGTACATTCCACTGCTCGGCTCTTTGTTGTGCGTGTAATTGCATTACTGAACGTTCATTCGTCAAATCCGACTTATTTCCAACCAATATTATTGGAATTGATGAATCCATAGCAGAATTTTTAACGCGCAATATTTGCTCCCTGTAAAGGAATATAATAACAACGAGTTATAAACCACGGTAATGACCATAATAGTGAATGACCAGAGGGTGATTACCACTGATTCACAGTCAGGTGTAGCTCAGAACAGTAGTAATACAATTGGAAAAGAAGTAAAATAGGACAATAAGAAAATATGAGTAACACAGTGAATAAAAAATGATTAAATAAATGAAGTAGTTGAGCAAGAGGTGGATAACCTGAATTCGTTTGTTGCTTCGAAAGATTCTGTATCGGTTATCGAAAATACGCAAATAAATCCTTCACCACTTCGGTAATAATTATCTCTACAATTATCACTTATTAGTGAGGTTAAGTGAAAGTTGGAACCTGACAAAAAGCTCAAAGTTTTTTCGAGAAGCAAAGATTGTGTCCAAAAAGTAAATTTTAATAAGTCGGTTAAAACTTGACTAATTCTTTCTTCTCAAAATCTAAAAACCACCTCCATCACTTGACAAAAATCCTCAAATTAAATTATCCTGACTGAAAATTTAGAAAAGAATGTGAAATTTGTCTATTTGCCTGATTGCCGAGTAATCTTCTTGACCAGCGGTATCTAGAATGTCGATTAAGCATTCCTCACCATCCAGTACAACTTTCTTTCGATATGAATCTGCTTTTGTTGGTTCGTATTCTTCTACGAACTAAAACAAAAGGATAACTTCTTTAACTGATGAAAATGAACTGTGTGAAAAGTACAATTTATGGAAATCATTTGTTTCAATCGGACGATTATAAGCGCAAGGTTAGTATCAATATTTTGAACAAACTAATTAATGGAGTTACTGAAGACCTGTGACTGCGAACTCTATACATAAAAGCCATAGCATTTAATGAACAACACCAGATATTTCACTTGATCGCCAGAAAACAAAAAGACAAACATAAAACTATTGTTATTTTTTTTCAAATGGATAGGAATCTTTGCTAATTAGGTAGAAACTGCAAACGCTGAAAACTCGACCAACGATGAATTTCGTATTTTTCTTAAAGCGAACTTTTTTTCCCCCAAGTAATTCTGTGGAACTACATCATTTAATTCTTGACAGTTATAAGAAAATGAGAATCAGAGAATACAAAACAATAGAGGAGAAAAACATGAAATAGAAAACTTAACCATCTTTTTGAAGTAAAATTTCATATATTCAGAGTATGTAATTGACATTTTATACAGTCGGTCTTTGTAAAACAGATTACGAACAGAAATAAATTAAACGATACGTAAATCAGGTTGGTCATTTCCCAATAAGCACTTTATTGCCCGTGAAATGCAAAATAAAAAGAAAATTTCCAGTACCTTTCAAAGTTTCCAACAACATTTTGCAATGTAAAATACACCTAAATAAAACGAATTAAAATCACTTTTCATTTGATGCTAGATGATAGTGCAGCTGAGACATTTTGTACAGTCGGTCTTTTGTACAATCAGATGAGACCGATAAATTATTGATAGGTTAATCTTTTATGCATTATAAGCAGGAAAATTTTAATGAGCAGGTAAAAACAGAATAGCATATTTTGTCCTTGGAGACATGGATCATTCTATTACTCTCGCCTATCATCTAAAAATGCTTATAAATTATCATACTATATTTTCAGCAGATATTGAAGAAAATTAATAAGAGGGAACCAGAAAAATTCAGCGATCCTTTGAAAAACCAATAATTTATACCTCTTTTTTTATTTTTTACAGTCATTAAAAATGGATAGGTTTCAGAAACTAGTGTTCCATATAACAGAAAAAAAAACAAAGACAAAAATAGAATATAAATGCTTCCGCCGGATCGACCGATCTTGAGACAGTTTCCTCAGCTTTTTTAATACTATTCTACTACCGGTTTCTTTTCTTCACAATCCAGCTGTATTGATGAATTCCTGATAAAGCTTCAACTTGAACTGAAGTCTAATTAAACAAGAAAAAAGACAGAATGAAGAGAAGCAAATTCTTTAAAAAAAAAAAAACAATCGATACCTACCGTATACGAACACCGGAGGTAGGATCAGAACCTAATGGAAAAATTTATTCCCTAATCTCAGTTTATAAAACCTTAAGCAAGCTAAAAATTACACTGGTTTCTCTTCCATCCTTGCTTGTGAATAAAAAAAAAATTGCTTTTGCTTATGAAGTACCTTTTCCCTTTCACTCTGCTCTATTCTATTAAACCGAAGTTCGCGAACTTTCAAACTGCTACATTCAAGAATTAAAAAATATGTCAAGAGTATCCTTTCTTTGGAGACTGATTATCTTAGCATCTCTGTAATCATCCTTTGTTCCATCTACCTCGTTCTCATTGATCGAACAGTTATTGCCCTAAAAAATTGAAGATCTGACGAAACTAAACTTGAAAAAACCCAAAAGAAGGATAAAGAAGACCGATGAATGCCATTTGAAATCTTTAAAAAATGAAAAAATTTCAAGAATTCAAAAAATAAAAGTAGTGTATTGTCGAATAGCACCCATCCATTACCTTGTTTCTTATTCTCTTTCTCCGATCCTTCCTTTAGCACTTTCCTAGCTTCTCTTTGCTTCGGCTTCCCTCCCCCTTATTTCCTCCATTTCCGACCGGTATTCAAGTAATAAGAATAAAGTTACAATGCAAGAGACATCTTATGTTATTCATTACACAAAAAATAAGAACAAAAAAACATAAATTTCGAAAACCGTTTCATCTGTTTGAGTCATAATTTTTTCCCTAACAAAAGTACGAAGTATTTTGCAGAAACTAAAATTTGAAATACAATTCAGAAGTACATTTCTTTACTGGGTCCGTAAAAACAATGACAATTTAGAATGGCGACAGTGATGAAGGTGAAAGGACAGATAGGTATAATAGTTGAAGAAAAAAAGTAGAAACGTTCAAACTCAAGCCACATTCCTGGCCGGTCCAAATAATTCAGCGATATTCACTCCCCAAATTCGGTAACACAGATCAGTTATGCTACATCAGTTATTGCTGGAACTGTTAGAATCGCAGATTTGAACGATAAAAGCTAAAGAAAAAGATCAATTGAAGGACTAACCTCATCATACATGAACTGTAAAGTCAACGCTGACTTGCCGACACCACCGGTACCAACCATTATCACCTGTAGTTAACTTGATTAACGGAAAATTAAGTATCTTGGAAAATTCCAATATTCCAAGCACAAATAGTCTTAAAGAAACTCATAAGAATTATCTGGTTTTCCCCACAAAAGTTCAAATTTAAACAACTTAAAAAATCAATTGCCTCTACCCACCAGAAAGAAGAAACGAGAAAAGCAAATGATAACAGATTTGTACCACTTAACCAAGTTTTTCTTCCATTCCTAACCTTCAATTATATCTTGAAGATAATTTTACCTAAAAATTTTAAAAAGTGAAATGCAGAGTGAGTACAGAGATGAGGTAATATTCTTCCCTTTTAATTAGAAAAAAAGGGAAAGGTGATGGAATCAAAATTTATTGGTTGTGACATTAACCACGTAGTACCATAATGGATAAAGTCCATCATCGAATTTTATTCATGTAAGAGTGATTCTGGTTTTCCTAAATCCGATGGATATTGTAATCTTACATCCATTTACTGTTCTTGTGAATCTTTCCAGAAGCAACAACAAAACTCTATGTTCCAGTCCTTTAGCCACCACAAATACACGCCAAATATATCTAACCAATTTCATCACCTCTCATCCGTAACCAGTTGTCCCATCCACTATTCTGGGCGCATTATACAGCAACGATTATCATTTGCAGGAAGAAACGATTGTACCCCACATCCCAATGAGCTGATATTTTCAAGACAAATAATCCAGCATAATGTGTAAGCCCAAAAGTAATAACTCGCCCTATCATGTTCACCTCCCTAACCAATCAACAATACTTTCGAATTCACAAACACTAGGTAGAAAAGATGAAATGATAAAATGATAATTTGAATTCGGAATAAAAACTGATTATAGTAAAATCGCAATAGAAATTGATTATAGTAACGCAGGAATGCTTCAGACGAAGAATTATTCAAATAGATATGATGAAGCTACCACAACAATTCTCCAGCTACAAGCTGAGGACTGAACCACCATTTATCTAATGATAGTGACCCCCACAGACTTAGATGATCTTATTTATACAGAGCGCAAAAAAAAGCATAGCAACAAACCTTATGAACCTGTGTTCCGATGCCAGCACCACTAGATATCTTCTTGGTATTATCACTCATTCGTGTTAAATAGCCTGGCCTCAATTCAACGATCACTTCACCAGTAGCAACACCACGCTTGATATCACAACTCTTCTCAGTTGCTTCCGATTTGCTAAAGGCTGATGTTAAACCGCACAAATCTAACAAACTCATCGCAAACCAAGTCAACCTGGACCAAAGATCTTTGCAACGTTCTTTGATCCAGCTCCAACAAAACTGAGCACGATTGCGTAAACTTTGCATTTTTCTGGATTACAATGAGAAGAAAAATGTAGAAAATACAACGAATTAATTCAGGAATCAGCCTAGAATGGCGTTCAGCGAAATAAAGGTGGCTAATAACCACGTGCAGCACTAATAACTGGTAATTTCAAATCTGAGATAATTTATCAGGAAAAGGTTGAGTCGGAAGATAAGTGGATTTCTTGATGTGATGATGTCAAAGACCAAGGTTGAAAGCTCACAGAAATTTCTCTCGAATATAACAAGTCATGATAACTAGATTTGCATGCTTTCTTCGCCGATTATGAATGTAATAAATCAATTCTCCTTGGTTCCTGATTCTCGGAAATAATGAAAAGAGTTAGAAATTAGTGGATGAGAAAAGTAACAATAGCAATAAATCGGCTAACAAATCATCGTCGGACAACACAAGCTAGATGATTCCAGCCTAGACCTCCGGCCACATTGAGAAACTGACGCGACCTCCTGCCATACTGAGAGAAGCAACCAAACATAGAGAAAGACACCGGCCAACATAAGTATCGCCAACAAGGAACCTCTCCTCTCCCTCAACATGCCGCACCCATCTCACTGGAAGGTGACATCAACGACGACAGTGCCATCCATTCTCTAATCTATCTCAGCGCATGTGTGTGCGGTGGGCGTGTATGTATGTATGTATGTATGTATGTATGTGTGTGTGCCTGTGTGTGTGTCTGTGTGCAAGTGTACGAATGAGTACATCATTATGTCAAAAGCTGTTTTAGGTGTGCATAGAACGGAAGTTAAACGGTGCAATGAAAGGAAAGAAAAAAAGGATTCAAAAGGTAGTAGTCTCATAGGGAAGTCAAAGTTAGAGATCTAGCCGAATATGGCAATGAGAAGTCATTTCCACAGTTCATTTCAGAAGGTCCTATTATTTCGGTTGCATTTCGTCCAGGATTTCAGGTTATTCCATTGCCGATCATTACTTATTAGTTAATGAACATCAAATCGATCAAACTCACTGATCACTTCCCATTTTCATTGTATCAGTAGAGAGAGATTATCAAATGCTTTCTGCTGATCATACTAATTCACAGCTACGTATATACCTCAGAAATTAAAATCTTCTGAGAAGACACTTTTGAATTCTTCCATCATAAGCCATATTTCACTTTTTAAAGGTCAAGCTATAAACCTGCTTGTTTAAACATGATAAGTGATTTGATCATTTAATGCATCGCATATGACCGTTTACTCATTTCTATATAATAAATCGATTTGCACACTTTTAATTCTTAAATCATTGAAGCATAGTCATTCAAGCACTGTCCTTGAACGAATGAATTGTCAGAGAAAGCACACAGTATAATTTCAAAATGATTGAATAACATTATCTAACAGCTGTTCTCCTTTTTTTCATCTAAAAGTATTACATTTAAGACAGCAATTTTTCAATAATAGTGAAAAAATAATAGTTAAAATAATAGTGTAAAATTCCATACGCACAGCTGTCTAAAATTAAAACAAAATATGGCAACCAACACTCAAATAAAAAAGTACTCCCCATATATTTCGGAACACAATCTGACACTTATAATTTACATATTTAAAATATGCTGCAAAAGAGTCCAGTAACTGTTTCTTTTGGAATGTTATGATTTAAATCATTGAAAATTCAATAAGGATGAAATCATATGATCTGAAAAATTTTTTAATTCCAAATTTGACAGTGTAGTACCTTTTTCGATCGAAATTTTTTCGATTTTTTTTTTCGACCTTTTCGACTTTTTCGATTTTTCGACCT